CGTTAGGAAACAAAACTTCAAGACCACGGCCACACAGCCCGGAAGACCCACGCCAGCCATTTTTGACTTATGCTAATATAGTTGGCATGACTTACCTGTTGATCTGCACAACTTGCAACAGCCATCCTCAGTTACCTGCACATCCTCCTATAAAAAGAAAATAGTTCAGAAATTAATTTATGATGCTAAAAGAGTCACTTCCCACTGTATGAGTATCATTTGTTTATGCTGCTGAAAGATCCACACTAAGATTAGAACTTCCCAGAGGAATACAGACAAAAGCAAAACAACAATATATCAGCTACAGTCCTAAAGGGATATTATATTTCTTGATGCATCTACATTTATTGGTGATTGGAAACCCCTTATGGACTTTTTTCGTAAAATGAAAAAAAAATGAAATAATTAAAAAAAAGAACCCCTACCCAAGTATCAATTATGAATCAGTTATGAATCACCTGAAGTGGACTGCAATCTACAAAAGAGGTACTATAACAAATATATCTATCTTTAAAGCTATTTTTGCAGAAATAAATTAGTACCGCTTCCGTCTAGAAATAGATTTTTAGTACAGCTAACTTGGGCCATAAACTTATATGGCAGGAGTGGGAAACTAAATCTCTCTTTTATTTAGTCTGTTTTTTGGGTTGGTTTTTTTTGTTGTTTTTTTTTTTGTAGCCCTTAGACACTGCTGACTACTATTTCACAAAATTCAAAGTGTGTCATCTTACCAATGTTGAGGCTGGAGAAAATTACAGTTGGAGCGTAAATCCCAAATAGGGTTAACTTAGTCTAAAAAAATAAACTCTGCAAATTCTTCCCACCAAAATTTAGTGAAAGAAAATCTCAATCCCACCCAAGTGTGTGACACAACCTTAGTCATTGTGCATTGTTTTCCCAGCTCCAGAGTTCCCTGCTATACACTTTTACATGGAAATATGTATCACTGAGCTCAGTAGGATTTAGTTTGGAATAGACATGCATAGGATTGCAAAGTTCAATTGTATCCCATAATAAACCCATTTCCACTTTATTCCACTTTAGATAAGTTCCACTTTCACTGGATAGCATCAAATATATTGAAACAAAGACTGTTGGGTCAATGAAACTTACAAGTTGGCATTTAGATGGATCAAATGGAGGGCAGGATTTCTTGATAGTGACAGTAATATATTGGTTCTCCATGTGTTCACATTCATAGAAAGTACAATTGTCTCCTTGTGGGTACCAGATTTCTCCTGGCTGAAAATAGCCACAGTTGTAGTTATTTATTTATTTCAGAAGATAACATAAAATAATTCATGAGCATAAACTTCTTAATTTCCCTGAGAACAGAATTGGGGAGTGGGGTGGGGGGTGGCCTGGAGTTAAGTAAGAAGTGCCCGTAAATACAAAACAATAGAAGTGAAAATTTTGGAGAGTTGGGGGATACAGCATTCTTCAACTATGCCAAATGTGATTTGTTAATTGGTGCTTGTTGAAGTTTGATGATACCAGTTGGTTTGGCATGACCACCAACAATGGAAGCTTGGCCCTAGGGTTGAGATATGGCTGCCCCTCCAGGGAATCCTGGAAAAGGGATGTGCTCCATCACAAATTTAGTATGAACAAGGGTGAAAAAGCCAAATTTCAAATTTCCTAATCTGATAGATTAGGAAAGAAAGTCTTTATTAAGCCTATAGGGAAGAGAATATTTTCTTCCCTGAAACACTTTAATTTCACAGTTTTAATATACTTGTTTACCTCCATTCATAGGTACCAAAGTATTGTAATCAATCTATAATAGAATATATTTTCTATTTTTTCCATCACCATACCATCTAGCTCAGAAATGGTATGAATTTGGTACTGAAAATTGTATCCTTTTTGCTGGTTCCTGGTCTCCAGATAGCTCCAGTGTAGCCCACATACACACTCTCACACAAATGCACTTTCATTCTTCACTCAATTGATTAAGTCTCTTGACAATTATTTTATTTATTTATTAGATTTATGTCCCATCTTTTAAAATTGGAACTCGATTCCTGGGTTGAATGAGCTGAGAGAAAGTGACTGACCCAAAGTTATTCAGAGAGCCTCCATGGCTGAGGGTGGGCTATAACCTGGGTCTTCCCACACTGGCTATTGTTGTTGTCTTGAAGTTGTGGTTGTTCTTATTACTAGCAACATTTGTGGGGCACTTTAATGGATCACTGCATCAGCAATTCAGTTGTCACTGCTTCCATTAGTACAGAATGATGGATTTTAGTAAGAAGTGGAGAGTTTATAGTATGGCATCTATAAGCAGAACTAATTTTTGTGGGGTATCTATATAATATCTCACCACCTTTTTTCTGAAACGGAAAGGACTACAGCATATATTTTGTCTGCAGAAGCTCCAAGTTTAAATCCTGGCTTCTCTGAAGTACAGCAGGATAGTGAAGGAGCACCATCTGAAGCCTCAAAGAACTTCTATTATTTACAGATTATTGTGGGCAACTTGATCAGTGAGTCTGCCAAGGCATTTTTCTACATTCTCTATTTTAATTTTTATATCACCATGACTTTCATAAATAGACAAACAAACTGATGGTCAGCCTCAGAGGGCAATAATAAAAATAGATGGAATGGGGTGGAGACCAGGTTAGCAAAAAAGGATTGTGATCATTCATCCAGAATTATTATTTACTGTTTAAATTAAAATCTCTGTCTCCTTTTTACTATCTGAGATGCTGGATTAAACATGAATTTGATGAACAATGGAGTTAGCAAAACTTTAAGTTACCTTGATCACTTGGACAGGATACAAGTCTGTCAGAACACAAGCTACTTGAGTGCAATGACCACAGCATTGTCCAGGTATTTCCTTGTATTCTTGACCCTGTAGTTCAGGAAATATGGGAAGAAATTCATAAAACCATAGATCTTTTTTTATAAGGTGGTGAGTGGATAAATAGATTCAGAGAGATTCAAAGCCATGGGTTTGTTTTTTTTTAAGAACCATATGACTTACCACTGGGCATCTTTTGTCACATGTTTGAAACACACACTCCACCTTGTTTTCTGGATGTTCTTTTTCAGAGCATCTGCATGATTCACATAATCCTCCTGGTATGACTGCCCCAGGCTGAAGAAGGACAAAAGAGAAACAGTAATAAATCACTCTAACCTAATTTCATACCCTGGAAATACTGTGCATGCTTTGATAGTGGAAGAGATGTTTAGATTAGAACTGAAATCCAAATTACAGTAAGCAACACACCATAAAGGGAGTTATCTTGACATAAGAGAAAAGTGATACCTTTGTTTGTACCAGGCAACCTATTTGTAATATTCTCTTCAGAAGGAGCCATGCTTGATACCTGTGTTTTGGTCTTTAAGATGCCAGGTGAAGATGTTTGTCTGGCGTTAAAAAAAAAGTTCTCACACTATTTGGCTTTTATTTTTATTGTGTGTGTGTGTGTGTGTGTGTGTGTTTGAGTGCTGTGTTTATGATTGCTTTTGATACTGCTGAT